TGGGGCGTAGTCATAGCAAAGCTTTACCATTCTGGAGAAGATCCCAAAAGGTCCACCCAGACCCTCCTCACTGATGCGTTTCGTCCAGATGGGGCGTAGTCATAGCGAAGCTTTACCATTCTGGAGAAGATCCCAAAAGGTCCACCAAGACCCTCCTCACTGATGCGTTTCGTCCAGATGGGGCGTAGTCATAGCGAAGCTTTACCATTCTGGACAAGATCCCAAAAGGTCCACCCAGACCCTCCTCACTGAAGCGTTTTGTCCAGATAAAGCTTTGCTATGACTAAGCCCTACCATTCTGGACAAGATCCCAAGAAATCCACCCAGACCCTCCTCACTGATGCGTTTCGTCCAGATAGGGCGTAGTCATAGCAAAGCTTTTTTTTTCCATTCGGGACAAGACCCCAAAAGGTCCACCCAGACCCTCCTACTGATGCGTTTCGTCCAGATAGGGATTACCATTCTGGACAAGATCCCAAAAAATCCACCCAGACCCTCCTCACTGATGCGTTTCGTCCAGATAGGGCATAGTCATAGCAAAGCTTTTTCCATTCGGGACAAGATCCCAAAAGGTCCACCCAGACCCTCCTACTGATGCGTTTCGTCCAGATAGGGATTACCATTCTGGACAAGATCCCAAGAGATCTGCCCAGACCCTCCTCACTGATGCGTTTCGTCCAGATAGGGATTACCATTCTGGACAAGATCCCAAGAGATCTGCCCAGACCCTCCTCACTGATGCGTTTCGTCCAGATAGGGATTACCATTCTGGACAAGATCCCATGAAATCCGCCCAGACCCTCCTCACTGATGCGTTTCGTCCAGATAAAGCTTTGCTATGACTAAGCCCTACCATTCTGGACAAGATCCCAAAAAGGTCCACCCAGACCCTCCTCACTGATGCGTTTCGTCCAGATAGGGCGTAGTCATAGCAAAGCTTTTTCCATTCAGGACAAGATCCCAAAAGGTCCACCCAGACCCTCCTCACTGACGCGTTTCGTCCAGATAGGGCTTACCATTCTGGACAAGATCCCAAGAGATCCGCCAAGACCCTCCTCACTCCATTTCATGTAGAAAGAGCTCACCCTTAGACTAAAATGCGTCAGCATGAAGAGGGTTTGGGCCGACTTTATGTGATCGTGTCTGGAACAATAAATCTTTTCTATTGATGATGTCATCAGAGTGCAGCCGGCTCTTCTCCATTCCCTCTAGCGTTGGGTTGGTAACTGACAGCCTTCAGTTATTTCAACTTGGCGCTCATCTTTTTTTTGGGGGGGGGAGGGGCCTAGTTTGAGCAAAATCAGCGGCTGCCGTTAAGAACAGACCCCGTTCTATCAATATCTGAACTCTTTCTCCTCAAAGAAGGAGTGATCCTCGGGGGCCGGCCCTCGTAGTGCCATCGTTACATGGGGGGGGGGGCCTAGTTTAAGTGAAATCAGCAGCCTCCGTTGTTGTGAGCAGACCCCGTTCTATCAATATCTGAACTCTTTCTCCTCATCCAATAAGGAGCGTTCCTTGGAGGCGGGCCCTCATAGTGCCATCGTTACACGGGGGGAAGGGGCCTAGTTTGAGCAAAATCAGCAGCCGCCGTTATGAACAGACCCCGTTCTATCAATATCAGAACTCTCCTCATAAAAGGAGTGATCCTCGGGGGCCGGCCCTCGTAGTGCCATCGTTACATGGGGGGAGGGGCCTAGTTTGAGTGAAATCAGCAGCCTGTTATGAGCAGACCCCGTTCTATCAATATCTGAACTCTTTCTCCTCATCCAAGAAGGAGCGTTCCTCGGGGGCGGGCCCTCGTAGTGCCATCGTTACACGGTGTGAGAGAGTGCAAACCTTTTCAGAAGCAGAAAAATCGACCCTTCGGAGCCGCGGTGACCCCGGAGAGCGTGACACAAGGAATATCGGACGGAGGGGGTCCTTAGGAACCTTCCGGAGTGCTACGACTTTGTCATTTTAACCCCCTCCTGTCCTTGTTATCTTTAAACTGTACAGAGGCGGGATGGGGGAGGGGAGGGGAGGGGGAGGGGTGTACAAAACGCATTTCGCTGGAAGGGACTCTTCCAGAGGGTTCTTGGTCCAAAACAATGACAATTAAATAATTATTTTCTATGAGTCGGGAGACACATTACTGACACAGGAATGGATAGAAAGATCTGACCCGCCTGGGGCAACTGGACGTTTATTACCCTCCCCCCCCCACCCCATGGCACCATCAAGGGCCCATTTAGGCGACTGCGTTGTGGGAATGCAAGTTGCGTACGTTAAGATTCGTTTTGAACGACAGCCCAACGCAACGGAGCGCGCTACAAATGACTTCCAACATGACGCCCCACAAATGGGGCCCCTGAAGGGCGAGCCCACCCAGTAATGGAATTTTACTTACAGGGGGGGCAACCCAATGATTTCTCAAGGACTTCCAGTGGCGAGATGTCCCGGCCCTCATACTCAGAGTCTCACTTCTTGTGACGCATTCTCCAGCAAAGTCACTACGTAACAGCCGCAGGAAAATTCATCACTGGGGGCCCACGAGAGCCAATTCACTAGTAAGCAGCCCAGACTAAAACAATAAGGGGGTGGGGTTCCCCCCTTTAAGACCTACGAAAGTGCTTTTATCAGTTGCCTCCGAGGTTCCACCCAAAGCGTCTGTAGAGGAAGGGAGGGGCTTCCTTTAAACACCTCCGTCTCTCTCAGCTCCTTGGGGGTGGTCTCTCGGCTCTGTGGGGGCGGTCTCTCAGTGGATATAGGGGTGACCCAGTCACCTCGTCCATCTCAGCTGGACATCAGACAGACTGGGCGTTGTGCAGTAATGTGTCCCCGGTACCCCAAATCCTCCGCAAAAAAAAACAAAAAAAAACATTCAATAATAATAATTTAAAGTACAAACAGAAAAAATCGGCTCCGTCACGCTACACGGGAGCCCGCGCTGCTCACGTTTATTACCCAGAATGCCACCCCCCCAAAAAAAAAAGGGCGCGCCCACAACTACGCACACAGGGTCCTGCCCTTACCAACCTCCATTCTATTCACCATCTAAAACTGGCGATCCAAACTAACCAATCACAGGAAAGAAGACAATAATTTATAGGACGATAAGCGGGGAAGGGGGAGGGGCTCCAGTCTAAGGAGGTCAATGGCTTAATCAGAAAATGGTAATAAAACCTAAAAATTCCCCAAATACAACCAATCGTCACCCGGTACCCAACACCCTCCCACATGGCGCCATCTGTGCCCGCGCCCCGCCTACTGCGCCGTACGGACCCCGCACAGTTCATGCGGGAACAAGAGCAAGCCCCCCAAAATGGATGTTGTGTGACATCTGGGGCGCCCCCTAGGTGGCAGAAGCCTTTATTACACCCAGTAAGGTGGTGGGGCGCCCCCGGGTGGCAGAAGCCTTTACTACGCCCAATAAGGTGGTGGGGCGCCCCCGGGTGGCAGAAGCCTTTACTACGCCCAATAAGGTGGTGGGGCGCCCCCGAGTGGCAGAAGCCTTTACTACAGGGGCAGAAGCCCCAATAAGGTGGTGGGGCGCCCTCGAGTGGCAGAAGCCTTTACTACACCCAATAAGGTGGTGGGGCGCCCTCAGGTGGCAGAAGCCTTTACCACACCCAATAAGGTGGTGGGGCGCCCTCAGGTGGCAATAAGGTGGTGGGGCGCCCTCGAGTGGCAGAAGCCTTTACTACACCCAAAAGGTGGGGGGCGCCCTCAGGTGGCAGACTGGAGAGCCATTTAGCGCCCCCTCCCCCAGATAATCCATGTAGAGGAGGTTAGAGGGCCCCACCAGTGGCAGAAGCCATGTAGAGGACTACACCTCCCCCAACAAGATGAATCCATGTAGAGGGTGTGAGCGCCCCCCCCCCCCCAGACTGGAGATGAAGCCATGTACCCCCCCCCCTCCAACTGGAATGGTGGTGGGGCGCCCTCAGGTGGCAGAAGCCTCCATGTACTAGAGCGCCACCCACTGGAGATCCAGGTGGATGGGGAGCCCCCCCCCCCCTCCAGGGTGGCATGTAAGGATTAGAGCCCCACCCCCCCTCCATGATGAATCCTGGCGGAGGGTAGAGCGGCCCCAGACTGGGAGGGCATCCATTAGGGTAAGCGCCCCCCCCCACAGACTGGAGATGCATCCATGTAGAGGAGGGTAGAGCCCCCCCCCCCCCCCCCCCCCCCCCCAGACTGGAGATGCATCCATGTAGATGAGGTTAGAGCCCCCCCCCCCACATTTCCCCTGTGAACCCTCGTATTGCAGCGAAGCGATATGGGGTACAATGGAGTCACGTCGGTAGGATTTGCGCGGCGCGGGTTGCGTACAAGACACTCGTACAGTCAGAGAAGGCACAGCACCATAAAGCAAGGACCGAGTGGGGTGGGGCGCCAATTCCTCATCCAATCCCCTCCCCCCGCTCCCCCATAAAGCAAGGAAGAAGTGGGTGGGGCAGCAATCCCTCCCATCTAGCCCCGCCCCCTGCGATCCACCATTGCAGCGTCACCCACATTATTGCTCTCCGCCCCCCCCCCTCCGCGACCCCCCCTATATACTCCTCCTTGTATATATATATATCTGGGCATCTCTCTATATACAGACAGTATATATTATATATCTCATTCAATAAAAAATAGCGATTATCAATATCTTATTCTAGCTCTAGAGAAGCCAATCTGGAAAGATTCACCACATTGAATGATCCCTGAGGTTTCGGAACTGGACCCCCCCCCCCCCCTTTTTTTTTTTTCTCTCCTCACCCCTCCCCTCCTCCCCCCCCCCCCCCCTTTATCAAGTCTCTGGGTTTCCCCGCCCCCGTCCCTTTTAGAGTCCAGCCATTGTCGGTCGGACTTGCAGCAGTCAGTCCATCCACATTTTCCGGGGGATTGCGATTGGGGGGGGGATGGGGTTGTTGGGGGGGGGGGCGCAGGAACGGCTGAGGAGAGAAGGTACATCAAATATTTTTGGGGGACACGAGGATGTCTGTGGTGGGTTAGCACAAGTGCTGCGGATTAAACTAAAAATTTTCTCGGGGACCCCTCCCCCTCTCTCCCCCCCCCCCCCGCTGCGGAAGGGGGTTTGGGGGGGGGGCGTTTACCGCCACCAAAGTGCTACGAAGGGTCCAGTACCAAGGGCCCCTCAGGGCTGCCCCCTCCTGAGTGCGGTTGAGGAAGGCTCCAGTAGCGCAGCATGGACAGGCGGAGGTCATCCATCTTGCCGTTGGTGAGGTCGAGGGCGGGGGGGTGGGGATGATGCGCGGAGCCGGGGGGTCTTCTTTGCGTCGGCGGCGGGTGCGCACCTCCAGGCAGTTCTGCCCCTTCATGTGGCGCTGGAGGTGGTCCTCCTTGGCGAAGGCCTTGTGGCACAGCGTGCACTCGTAGGGCCGGTCCCCGGTGTGAAGGTGCATGTGGTTCTTCAGGTCGTAGCTGTGCAGGAAGCGGGCGCTGCAATGCTCGCAGCAGTAGGGGCGCTCGCCCGTGTGTGTTTTCCGCATGTGGATCTTCAGCTTGTCATTCCTGGGGGGGGGGGGGGGGAGAAAACATGGCAGCCGTGAGGGGGGGAGCAAAACAAGAACATCACAACTCATGAATGGTACCAAATGATGGCAATTCCAGAACCAGCCTGACCCCGGGTTATACTGCCACCTACAGGAGACGTGGAACAGCTACAAGGAAACTTAAAACCCGCCCCCTTGAAGTTATAGCCCCTCCCACCTGCCCGGCTTGCTTTGATGTGCCCACCCCTCAGGCCAAAGGTTCCTTGATGATCATCAAGCTGTGTGCCTCAATGGGAGAAAAACATGATATAATGGGAGGAGCCACCTATCTAGCCAATCACAGCTGAGGGCGGATATGAAGGAGATTGTACAATCAGATCACGTAGTGTATGGTGAGCTTTACACGCTTCCAGGGACACGCTGCTGTCCCGCCTGCATGCCACATGTCTGAGTACAGAGGTGGGCGGGAGCAATCTCCTGGGGGGGAGGGATGTGCGGGGTGTGGCAATCTCCTGGAGGGGGGGGGGGGGGGGAGGTGCGGGGTACTGGGGGGGGAGAGCGGGGAATCTCCTGGGGGGAGGGCAGGTGCAGGCAATCTCCTGCGGGGGGGGGGGGGGGAGGTGCAATCTCCTGGAGGGGGAGGGCAGGTGCGGGGAATCTCCTGGAGGGGGGGCAGGTGCGGGGTGTGAGAAATCTCCTGGGGGGGGGGGGGTAGCTGCAGGTTGCGGGGCAATCTCCTGGAGAGGGAGGGGGTGCAGGCAATCTCCTGGAGGGGGGGAGGGGAGATGCGGGAATCTCCTGGAGGGGGGAGGGCAGGCAATCTCCTGGGGGGGAGGGCAGGTGCGGGGTGTGAGCAATCTCCTGGAGGGGGGGGGGGGAGGGCGGGGAATCTCCTGGAGGGGGGAGGGCAGGTGCGGAAAATCTCCTGGAGGGGGGAGGGCAGGTGCGGGAAAATCTCCTGGAGGGGGGGGAGGGCGGGCAATCTCCTGGAGGGGGGAGGGCGGGGAATCTCCTGGAGGGGGGGGCAGGGCAGAGAAATCTCCTGGAGGGGGAGGGCAGAAAATCTCCTGGAGGGGAGGGCAGAAAATCTCCTGGAGGGGGGAGGGCAGAAAATCTCCTGGAGGGGGAGGGAGGGAATCTCCTGGAGGGGAGGGCAGGGAATCTCCTGGAGGGGGAGGGCAGGGAATCTCCTGGAGGGGGGGAGGGCAGGGAATCTCCTGGAGGGGGAGGGCAGGGGAATCTCCTGGAGGGGGAGGGCAGGTGCGGGGTGTGAGAAATCTCCTGGAGGGGGGGGAGGGAATCTCCAGGGAATCTCCTGGAGGGGGAGGTCAGGAAATCTCCTGGAGGGGGGGAGGAATCTCCTGGAGGGGGAGGGGAAATCTCCAGGGGGGAGGGCAGGAAATCTCCTGGAGGGGGAGGGCAGGAAATCTCCTGGAGGGGGAGGGCAGGAAATCTCCTGGAGGGGGAGGGCAGGAAATCTCCTGGAGGGGGAGGGCAGGTGCGGGGTGTGGAATCTCCTGGAGGGGGGGCAGGAAATCTCCTGGGGGGGAGGGCAGGTGCGGGGGTGTGAGAATCTCCTGGAGGGGGGAGGGCAGGTGCGGGGTGGGAGCAATCTGCCGGAGGGGAAGGGCAGGTGCGGGCAATCTCCTGGAGGGGGAGGGCAGGTGCGGGCAATCTCCTGGAGGGGAGGGCAGGTGCGGGCAATCTCCTGGAGGGGGAGGGCATGGCGGGAGGGTGCGGGCAATCTCCTGGAGGGGGAGGGGAGGTACGGGTTGTGAGCAATCTCCTGGAGGGGTGGGCAGGTGCGGGGAATCTCCTGGAGGGGGAGGGCAGGTGCGGGGAATCTCCTGGAGGGGGAGGGCAGGTGCGGGGAATCTCTGGGAGGGGGGGCAGGTGCGGGGAATCTCCTGCGAGGGGGGGCAGGTGCGGGGAATCTCCTGGGAGGGGGGGGAGGACAGGTACGGGGTGTGAGCAAAGGGGAACAAAAAAGGGAGGGCAAAAGAGAAAAGGGGGATGTAGGGGGAGCTGGTTGGGCCCAGAGGACGGGGATAATGATGGCGGCAGAGAGACCACATGATTGGACCACACTCAGAGTGTCTGTGGCACCTATGAGATGACTGGGCATTGGGGTGGGGGGGTGGGGTGCCTGTACCTCCCCCCCCCAGTCATGGAGCCCCGGAAGGAAGGTTCCTATTGGCCGGGGTAGCTCACCTTGTGAATCGGATCTCCGCAGACCTGGCACACGAAGGGTTTCTCCCCGGTGTGGGTGCGCATGTGGCGGGGGAGTTTCCGGCCCCGTGGATGATCTTGTGGCAGACGGGACATTCCTGCGGCATCTGCGATCGCCGTTTCCTCACCAGCTTGTCGGTGCCGTCCAGGGAAGAGGCCATCAGTTCCGGGTGCTCGGGGTCCAGGGGCCCCAGGAAGGTCATGTCGGTGGGCTCTTCGTCAGACAGGATTTCGTCGGGTGGAGAAGGGGGGACGAACATGTGCTGGCCCCCCAGGCCGTTGTCGGGGGTGAATCGCTCGTAGTGGAGGCCGCCGTCGCCTGGCGGTAGTTCTGCCGGTGATGCCGCTTCTGCGGGGCTCTCGGCCCTTTCCGTGGAGTCGTCGTCCACGATATACGGACTGCCGTTCTGCGCGGGCCTCTGACTCGGGTTCACCTGCAGGAACTTCCTCCGGCCTTTTCGGGGGGATAAGTTGCACCGGTTTGTGCGGCGCCGGCATGGAATGCACCGGAAGCAGGGAGCTTTCCGGCTCCGGAGGGGGGGCGTGGCATCTTCGCCGTTTTCCTGCATGCCGTAACACTCCAGATATTGCCGCGGCCCGCAGGAAGCCCTCCAGATCTTCGGCGTCTCCGCCCATCTCCTCCCGCCCCCCGTTACATCGCAGGATCTCCACGCAGGCCTCCACCACGCACGGGATCTCCAGGAGGCGCGCGGCGCGCAGCACGTCGCGCATGTTGGCGTTGCTGATGGTGAGCGTGGCGGTGTAGGCGAAGTCCAGGAGGGGCGCCCAGAGCGTCGGGTTTCAGGAAGTCCAGCTGGCAGACGTCGCGGGACGACTTGGTGGGCGGAGCCCCCGTGAACAGCTTGCGGAAATATTGGCTGCAGGCGGCCAGCACGGCGCGGTGGGTGCGGTACTCCAATCCCTGCGTCTTGATGGTGATGTCACACAGCACGCCGCGGTGACGCTGCTCGTTCAGGCAGCTCAGGAGATCGCTGCTGTGTTCCGGGAACGGGATCCCGATCAACTCGTCTTCTGACGTCGCCATCGCCCCCTGCAGGAATCAATTATACAGCATTACTATAATGTCCAGGAGTGACATCACCGCCCTCCAGATATAGTGACATCACCGCCCTCCAGATATACACAGGTGACATCACCGCCCTCCAGATATAGTGACATCACCGCCCTCCAGATATAGTGACATCACCGCCCTCCAGATATAGTGACATCACCGCCCTCCAGATATACAGAGTGACATCACCGCCCTCCAGATATAGTGACATCACCGCCCTCCAGATACAAGATATATTATACAGAGTGACATCACCGCCCTCCAGATATACAGAGTGACATCACTCCCGCCTCCAGATATACAGAGTGACATCACCGCCCTCCAGATATAGTGACATCACCGCCCTCCAGATATAGTGACATCACCGCCTCCAGATATACACAGTGACATCACCGCCCTCCAGATATAGTGACATCACCGCCCTCCAGATATAAGATATATTATACAGAGTGACATCACCGCCCTCCAGATATAGTGACATCGCCGCCCTCCAGATATAGTGACATCACCGCCCTCCAGATATAAGATATATTATACAGGAATGACATCACCGCCCTCCAGATATAATATACAGAGTGACATCACCGCCCTCCAGATATAAGATATAATATACAGAGTGACATCACCGCCCTCCAGATATAAGATATATTATACAGGAGTGACATCATCGCCCTCCAGATATAAGATATATTATACAGAGTGACATCACCGCCCTCCAGATATAAGATATATTATACAGAGTGACATCACCGCCCTCCAGATATAAGATATATTATACAGGAGTGACATCACCGCCCCCCAGATATAAGATATATTATACAGAGTGACATCACCGCCCTCCGGATATAAGATATATTATAGAGTGACATCACCGCCCTCCAGATATAAGATATATTATACAGAGTGACATCACCGCCCTCCAGATATAAGATATATTATACAGGAGTGACATCACCGCCCCTCCGGATATAAGATATATTATACAGGAGTGACATCACCGCCCTCCAGATATAAGATATATTATACAGAGTGACATCACCACCCTCCGGATATAAGATATACAGAGTGACATCACCGCCCTCCGGATATAAGATATATTATACAGAGTGACATCACCGCCCTCCGGATATAAGATATATTATACAGAGTGACATCACCGCCCTCCAGATATAAGATATATTATACAGAGTGACATCACCGCCCTCCAGATATAAGATATATTATACAGAGTGACATCACCGCCCTCCAGATATAAGATATATTATACAGGAGTGACATCACCGCCCTCCAGATATAAGATATATTATACAGAGTGACATCACCGCCCTCCGGATATAAGATATATTATACAGAGTGACATCACCGCCCTCCGGATATAAGATATATTATACAGAGTGACATCACCGCCCTCCAGATATAAGATATATTATACAGAGTGACATCACCGCCCTCCAGATATAAGATATATTATACAGAGTGACATCACCGCCCTCCGGATATAAGATATATTATACAGGAGTGACATCACCGCTCTCCAGATACAAGATATATTATACGGGGGGGCGGGGCTGACTGAGGTCGGTGATGGAGAAGACAGGAAGATCGATCAGATCTGTCAGCAGATAAAGTCGCTGTGTGAAGTTTGCCGCCCCCGCCTTGTACCCGATGATGTCATCACTGTGTGATCTGTGTGTCGGGGAGATGGGGGAGCGATGATCTGCACAACTGATCACATATATGGGCTGAGGACAGATACACCAACATCCTGATATATACACAATGGTCCTGGCTCAGGAGGATGGGGGGGGGTTATATGTCAGGTGTCGGGGTGTATAGGGGGGTTATAGGGGGTTTCATATGTCGGGGGTGTATAGGGGGGTGTATAGGGGGTGTCATATGTCAGGTGTAGGGGGTGTCGGGGTGTATAGGGGGGTGTCATATGTCAGGTGTTGGGGTGTATAGGGGGTGTCGGGGTGTATAGGGGGTGTCATATGTCAGGTGTTGGGGGTATAGGGGGTGTCATATGTCAGTTGTTGGGGTGTCATATGTCAGGTGTTGGGGTGTATAGGGGGTGTCATATGTCAGGTGTTGGGGTGTATAGGGGGTGTCATATGTCAGTTGTTGGGGTGTCATATGTCAGGTGTTGGGGTGTATAGGGGGTGTCATATGTCAGGTGTTGGGGTGTCAGGTGTTGGGGTGTATAGGGGGTGTCATATGTCAGGTGTTGGGGGTGTCATATGTCAGGTGTTGGGGTGTATAGGGGGTGTCATATGTCAGGTATTGGGGTGTATAGGGGGTGTCATATGTCAGGTGTTGGGGTGTCATATGTCAGGTGTTGGGGTGTATAGGGGGTGTCATATGTCAGGTGTTGGGGTGTATAGGGGTGTATAGGGGGTGTCGGGGTGTATAGGGGGTGTCATGTCAGGTGTTGGGGTGTATAGGGGGTGTCATATGTCAGGTGTTGGGGTGTCATATGTCAGGCGTTGGGGTGTATAGGGGGTGTCATATGTCAGGTGTTGGGGTGTCATATGTCAGGTGTTGGGGTGTATAGGGGGTGTCATATGTCAGGTGTTGGGGTGTCATATGTCAGGCGTTTGGGGTGTTGGGTGTCAGGTGTATAGGGGGTGTCTAGGAGGTGTCAGGTGTTGGGGTGTATAGGGTCAGTTGGGGTGTACATGTCAGGTGCGGGGTGTATAGGGGTTGTACAGGGGGGTGTCAGGTGTATAGGGGTGTCTAGGAGGAGGTGTCAGGTGTTGGGGTGTATAGGTGTCAGGTGTTGGGGTGTATAGGGTTAGGGGGTGTACAGGGGGGTGTCAGGTGTTGGGGTGTATAGGGGCAGTTGGGGTGTACAGGGGGGTGTCAGGTGTCGGGGGTGTATAGGGTCAGTTGGGGTGACGTACATCACTCACACACGGGGGGGAGGACAGGAAAGGGGGGGCCATGGCAGACACAGGCAGCGGTTGATGTCACGCCGCGGCGTGGGGGGGGGGGGGCGGGGCGGATCAGGTTGCGTCGGAGGGGAAGACTTCACCCGCCTAGTTACCTGGCAGGAGCCCTCAGCAGGTGTCTTGTTCCAATTAGCACAGCCCCTCCCAAGGCAGCAATGAGGGGCCCCTCCCTGCTGAGGAATGGAGGGCCCCTCCTTGTCAGAGGGGGACAGGACGGACCTGTTGTACCAGGCACGGTGTGACACGCCACAAAGGGTACATAGATGAATGAAGTGTCAGCTCTGTGGATCACGCGGCTGTAGGAAAGGCCGGGATTGGTCCTCATCTCACCGACAATGGACTGGTTGTACCGGTCCCAGCAATCCGTGTCACCGTCTGCCGCCCCCTGGCCCCCTGCCTGGCATCCATGACCGTCCGTACACCTGACACGTCCATCGTCCTGGTGTCATGGAGAGGACCTGTCTAAGGAGCAAAACCTTTCCCCCATACAGCTAAGGCGGGCCCCGAGGGGACATGGAGGAGACATGTGGCCCCCGGCAGACTCTGTAATATTAGAGCGGGGAGTGGAAATGTACAGATAGGACGGGGGGGGGGGGGGCGACATGAAGGGTTAACACGCCTCGGTTACATACGAAGGTTCACACGCCAATTCCCACCGTATCATGTGACTGCGAACGTCATACTCCGAGTGCGATGGAGGAGACCGGAGAGCCGGCGTGTGCCCCGTGCACACGCTACATGTGACGGAACCTTCCATGTACATGACGAAGGCTGCTCTCACACGCATCCGCCGCAGAGGTGGTGACACCGCGATTATTACAGAACACGCCACTGAAAACCGCAACAAAAACGATTCTCGGGCATTTTTTTTACTCCCCAAACTTGTCCCAAAGATGCTGCAAGCCGGAATATTCACCAAAACACCTCCATGTGATCCCAGACATTCACAGTGTGGACATTTGGATGGGGGGAGTAACAGACAGACATTCACAGGTACATTCATACACAGACATTCACATACACGGACATTCACATACACGGCAGGTGGATGGGGGGGGATGGCATTCACATACAGGGGATTCATTCACTTGGACATTCACAGGACATTCACAGGTGGACATTCATAGATGGGTGGGGGGGGGATCACTTGGATGCAGGTGGATGGGGGGGGGGGATCACTTGGATGCAGGTGGACTTTGGGGGGGGGGATCACTTGGATGCAGGTGGATGGGGGGGGGATCACTTGGATGCAGGTGGATGGGGGGGGGCAGGATCACTTGGATGCAGGTGGACGGGGGGGGGGATCACTTGGATGCAGGTGGGTGGATCACTATGGATGGGGGGGGGATCACTTGGATGGGGGGGGAGGGGGGATCACATGGTGCAGGTGGGGGGGGGGGATCACTTGGATGCAGGTGGATGGGGGGGGGGGGTCATTTGGATGCAGGTGGATGGGGGGGATCACTTGGATGCAGGTGGATGGGGGGGATCACTTGGATGCAGGTGGATGGGGGGGGGGGATCATTTGGATGCAGGTGGATGGGGGGGATCACTTGGATGCAGGTGATCACTTGGATGCAGGTGGACGGGGGGGGGGAATCACTTGGATGCAGGTGGATGGGGGGGGGGGGATCACTTGGATGCAGGTGGATGGGGGGGGGATCACTTGGATGCTAGGTGGTGGGGTGGGGGGGGGAAATCACTTGGATGCAGGGGGATCACTTGATGCAGCAGTGGTGCATGGGGGGGGTGGATGCAGGTGGGGGGGGGGATCACTTGGATGCAGGTGGACGGGGGGGGGATCACTTGGATGCAGGTGGACGGGGGGGGATCACTTGGATGCAGGTGGATGGGGGGGGATCACTTGGATGCAGGTGGATGGGGGGGGGGATCACTTGGATGAGGTGGATGGGGGATGGGGGGGGATCAGCTTCACTTGGACGGGGGGGGGGATCACTTGGATGCAGGTGGACATGGGGGGGGGGATCACTTGGATGCAGGTGGATGGGGGGGATCACTTGGATG